GCTTATAATTTAACTGTTCATTTCTTGTATTATCTATCTATCTGTATATAATTTAACAGTTCATTTCTTGTATTATATATTTATCTATCTTTATAAATATATATATAAAATTATTAGCAATCTGGTTTTGTCTCTCTAGAGAACCCTGTCTGACACAGCATCAAAATGGTTGTTCTGATGCCTGATACTTGATCTCGTTGACACCTGGTGATCACATGGGTTGATGCCCTTCTTCCATGTGGGCTTTGTTGCTTCCCTACTAGCTGGTCACTTGTTTAACTTCAAGCCTTTAAGACCCTAGATGCTGTATCTTGTAGTAGCCAGGCACCATCAGCTTTCTTCACCACATTAGCTTATGCGTCCCTTTTGTCTTCAGGAATGTGAGCAGGTTGTGAATGATCTTGATGTGTCTCCCACCCCCATAGCACTTTCCAGCTCTTAAGTTATTGGGGTGCTGGTTTTGAATGGTATATCATTTTTTGTAACCAAATGCCATAGTGTGCAGCTTATTTAAGTCATGCTGATATCATGTTCCATTTCTTGCAGATGTCATCATTGCCAAGAAGAGCAAAATTAAAGGCCCAGACTGCTGAACCCAAAGATGACTGTTCTTTCTTCTCTGAGTTGTGAGCATATTTATTTCATATCGGGGTGGGAAAATGACATTTTTGAGGAGTAACATTCTGCCACTAACTTAAGTGGTTGGTGTTGAGTAGGCTGTGCTTTTCATTCTTGCATGTAATAAGTGTGGTGCTGGAGAAGAATATCGAAAGTACCTTGGGTGGCTGAAAGGACGAACCTCTCTGTCTCAGAAGAAGTAAGGCCAGAGTGCTCCTTAGAGGCAAGGATGGTGATACTTTAGCTTACATACTTTTGACATGCTGTTAGGAGAGTCCAGTGCCTGGAGAAGGATATCATGTTTGCTAAAGTGGAGGGACAGTGAAAGAAAGGAAGGCCCTCGGTAGATGGAGTGACACCATGGCGGCTACTCTGGGCTCCGGCCTAGGGATGATGATGGGGCTGGCCCAGGGCTGGACAGCGGATCGTTCTGTTGTCCATCCGGTCGTTGTGGGTTGGAATTGACTTGATGGCACTGAACAGCAATAACAACATGCAGTAAATATTTATTAAACTCCTGCTATGCTTCTCTCTACGTGTTGAGTTTAGTTTGCTCTTCAGTGATAGAAAACATGCATTATTTACATTAGAATGTGACCTCCTTAGGCAAAGGGACAATGCCATGTTGCTTTAGAGCAGTGGTTCTCAACCTTCCTAATGCCGCGACCCTTTCATACAGTTCCTCATGTGGTGACGACCTCCCAACCATAACATGATTTTCATTGCTACTTCACTGTCATTTTGCTACTGTTATGACTCGGGGTCGTTGGACCCCCACAGGTTGAGAACTGCTGATTTAGAGGAATGTTTCCGTTTCTCAACATTGGCGCTATCGGAATTTTGAGCTAGGTAAATTTTGAGCTAAGTTTTGTTGTGGGGAAACTGCCCTGTGCACTGATGTGTAACAGCATTATCTCACCTATAGCTGCTCATAGCAACCTCCCACAATTGTGATACTCACCAAAGCCTTCAGATATCACCACATGTCCCCAGGGGGGCAGGCTGTGTCGTGGTTGGCTGAGAACCAGTGCTTTAACACAATCAGTAGAGGTTGTAATGACCCTTCGAAGACTGATTCCTGTTAAGCAGTGCTGACGTTACTGTGCTGTGAAGAAGACAAGAGCAGGGCACAGGAATAAGAGCGCACAGTGAGGAGACTCATTTTGGATAGAATGCTCAGGGAAGTCTTGAGGAGAATGTGGCGATATTGCGGACGTCTGAGGTTGGTGTGCGCAGCTTGCAAAGATCTCGGGGGTGAGTGTTCCTAGTAGGGAGGGCAGCCCAGGCAACAAATCCAACAGTAGAACTGAGCTTGGTGTTTTTAGGGAACGGCCAGGAGATCAAAATCAGCAAGGCCTAGAATGATGGGACATATTTGAAGGGGCTTGTGAAGCC